GTGGCTCAAGCCTGCAATCTCAGCACTTTGGGAGTCTGAGGCAGGTGGATCACTTGAGGTCAGGAGTTTGACACCAGCCTGACCAACATGGTGAAACCCCATCTCTACTAAAAATAGAAAAATTAGCTGGGTATGGTGGTGTGGGCCTGTAATCCCAGCTACTCAGGAGACTGAGGCACGAGAATTGCTTACACTGGGGAGGTGGAGGTTGCAGTAAGCCAAGATCACACCACTGCACTGCAGCCTGGGCGACAGAGCGAGATTCCATCTTTAAAAAAGAAAGAAAAAAAAATCTGTGCTCTCATAGAGCATACATTCACTCTATTGGAGGAGAGAGGTAATAAAAATAAACACAAAAATATGGGATGCTGGATATTAAGTTCTAAAGACTTTTTAAAATGTTAAAGCAGAGAAGTTTTTGGAATGTGAGCTACAATGTTTGAAGTCTTCAGTGAAAATATTACATTTATATAAAGACCTGGCAGAGGCAAGGGAATAACAGTGTGGATATCTTGGAAAAGAACATTCCAATAAGAATGAGAAGCATTTGCAAAGGTACTGTGGCAAGAGCAGATGTGGCATGCTTGAGGAATAGTGAGGAGATGAATGTGGCTGGAGCAGAGTGAAAGATGGGGAGAGTTATCAAAGGTGAGATCAGAGAGGTAATAGGGGAGGTGGGCAGGTCCTGTCAGACCTTATTAAAAACATTGGCTTTTAATCTAAGTTGGGAAACAAATGGAGAGTTTCAGCCAAGACATGACATGACACAACTCACATTTTTTCAGATCTCCTCTGGCTGCTTTCTAGGGCATTGCCTGAAAGGAAGCAATAAACTCAGGAAGACAGCAAACAGGTATTGCAATGATGCAGCAAGAGAAGGTGGTGGAATGGACCAGGTGGTGGTAGTGAAGATTGTGAGAAGTGATTCTCATGTGTAATTTGAAAGTAGAGCCAAATAATTTGCTGACAGACCAAATCTGAGATGTGCAGAAAAGAGAAAATTCAAACATAGTATCAAGGTATTTGGCTGTGCAGATGAGTGAATGGAGGTGGCGTTGGCTGAGTTGAGGAATACCCAGGAGGAACAGGTTCTTTTAGTGGAGAGAGTGGGAATTCATTTAAATATGTGGTTTTTGTCTGGGCATAGTGGCTTGTACCTATAATTTCAACACTTTGTGAGGCCAAGGTGGGCAGTTCACCTGAGGTCAGGAATTCAAGACCAGCCTGGCCAACATGGTGAAACCCCATCTCTACTGAAAATGCAAAAATTAGCCTGGCGTGGTGGCACACGTTTGTAATCCCAGCTGCTTGGGATGCTGAGGCAGGAGAATTGCTTGAACTCAGGAGGCGGAGGTTGCAGTGAACCAAGATTGTGCCATTGCACTCCAGCCTGGGTGACAGAGCAAGACTCCATCTGAAAAAAAAAAAAAAAAAGATGTGCTTTTTGCCGATGCCTATTCAACATCCACAGGAGGCATGTGGATATGGAGGCTTAGAGTTCAAAAAGGATGATCTGGTTAGACATGAATCCAAGGCTATTGCAGTATATAGAGTATTTAAAGCCATGAGGTTGGGCAAGACACCTAAGGATGGAAAAAGCAAGCCAGAACAGGGAAGAGGTCCAAGGACCAAGGCCAGGAGCATTCCAGCATTTAGGATGAGAAAGAGGAGATGAACAAGAAAAACAAACTGAAAACAAGCAATCAATGAAATAGAGTAAATCAAGAGAGTGTGGTGTCCTGGAAGTCAAATGAAGTATTTTAAATAGGTGAAAGTAAGCGTGTCTTATGCATTAAGTCTAGTAAGAGAAGGACTATAAAGTGACCTTGAATTTGTAAACATGGAGGTTTATTGGTAACCCCGAGAAGAGAAGTTTCTTAGGAATGTTGGGGGCAAGAGGAAATGTAAGTGAGCTCAAAAGAAGAGGAAGAGAAAATTTGGAGAAAAAGTATAAACAACTTGTTTTGCTATAAAGATGAACCAAGGAACATGGATAGAGCTGAAGGGGGCAGAAAGAGGCATGCTTCCTTTCATGTAGAAATAATAGCACATTTGTAAATTAATGAGAATGATCCAGTAAAGAGAAAAATTGATTATAGGGTTGGCAAATAGTGGAAGTAACATCTTTGAACAGTGAGAGGGAATGGAATCTTGACACTGTTGGATGGATTAGCCTTTGTTAAGAGAATGCTCAGATCAACCATAGTAATAAGACAGTATTGACTGAAGATTGTAGACAGTCTCTTCTGACTGATTTAGTTTTCTCTGTGAGGTAGGAATCAAGATCTCATCTGAGAGTGAGGAATGGGAGAAGAGTTGAAGATTTGAGGGAAGAGAAGAAATAAATCGTCATCTAAGAAAGTCCATTTTTACATAAAATATAAAATGGACTACAGAAATATAGTATGATTGGCAAGAAAATTAAAAACTTACTTGAAATTAGAGATTACACATTTAACATGAGACTGGTCAGCATGGTTGTGTATTCATCCAAATGCCACCAGATGGGCATAGACCCATTAATGAGGAATTAAATTTTATCAGAATTAGCATTTTGCCACGCAAGTAAGTTGAAGTCAAATTGAGGCAAATAAGAGGGGTATATGCAAAGGAGTGATTATTATGATTGATCAAGGAACTTAAGTTGTTTAAGGAAGGAAGACAAAACGTGAAGAAAGTGAGGGATCATTAAAAGGGGGTAGGATCAATAGATTAAAAGTTTCAGTTGGGTCAAAGGATTTTTAGAGTTAGGGCACTCGAGGCAGTGAACTAGGGTGAAAAAGGGAGGAAGTGATGAACAAATAGAGTAACTGAAAATGAGATTATGGGAGGTATACAGATGTATGGAATGACAAGGTCAGGAGTATGACAATGAGAGTAATTAGCTGAAGTTGGGCAGAGGTCTAAGGAAAGAAGTAAAGTAATTTAGTGGTCAGGATATTGGAAGGAATCTAGATAAATATCAAAATCAAGAATTTCTATAGTAGCATCTTGAATACTTTCTGGCACATTGTAGGTACTCTATAAATATTTGTTCAATAAATGAGTAAAAGATATTCAGTACATAACAATTCATCTCGAAAATACTTCTTCCCTTTCCTCAAATCCTGAACATTCATTTATTCATTCTTCATCACACAAAAATCTGAATCTGGCTTCTCCCCCCTACCCTCCTTATTTACTTTCTCAAATAGTATACATTTACTCATTAAACGAACATATACACATGTATATTTTCAAGATTATCAAGCAATTCCTATTTCAACTTTTCTTAAAATGTTGACTCTGTGTTCATATACAGTTTATAACATCCTGAATTCCTGAAATTGACTCAAACACAAACTATGTACAATTTTCAAATTATGATCACCACAGTAGCATACTTACACATCACTACTTGGAGTTTTCTCTCATTTTTATTGTTCAACAAGAACTGAAACTTATGTTGCCATTTGTTAAATGCTATATCTAAATTCCATTTCAATATCCAGTGAACACAGGTTCTATTTTTTATCAAGTATGCATAAGCAGTAATCATTCACGCAAGTGATTCCACTAGTCTCATAGTTTCTTGGAAATGAATCCCAATGAAATAAGATGACAACAGTGGAAGAAAGGGGAATTGGGAAAGTCCATAAAATTCACTTCTATCAATAAAAGAAATCTACTTTGTTTTATATATTTGAAATATCAGCCACTTACTGAACATGTTCGTATCTTAAAAATTGACTCCCCTTTATTGAAATCCTAAAGTGTACAATGGTTTTGTAGTCATAAATTGGGAAAAAATGGTATAACTAAAGAAATATGTAGAATTTTAGAATGGGAGTAGGCATTAAATATTGTAGACTCTTACGGAATGTTCTGGCAGTGGAGCAAATAGTAGAACAATCAGGTGAGATTATTCATTGAAGATGTCATGCCAAAGTTTAAAGACATGGCTTGGGCTAGGCATGAGGTTTTCTTATGCCCGTCCATCTACCTATCCATCCTTAAATCTATCCATGCACCCACCTATCCATTAATTCATCCATCCACCCATCAACATATATTGAAAACCCATAGTGAGCCATGTTAGACCTGAGGTTACAAGGATGAATAAAACACAGTCTTCCTCTCAATAATTATTCCATTTTGAAGTCCCAACTAAGAGTTGGTTTTGAGTAATTACAATATAGAAAACATTTCAAGGTCTTAAATAAATGTATATACATATATAATTATAAATTATATCTATACACATATATATGTAATTGTTCATAATGATCACAAAGTAGAAATCTTTTATATAATATTTTCTTTATCAGATTGGAAAATTTCATTAAATAAACTTAGAAATTTTTTCTATTTCTGAGAGAAATATTTTTCACTTTTTTCCAGTATAAGAAATTATTTTTAAATCAACTCAACCAACGTAACAATGGTAAAGCCAGTTGATGAGATAGGTAAGTCCCTGTTAACTAAAGATTATCCAGAAAGGATCCCATAGAGGAAATTTCTAAGTATTACCCAGTTGGTATTTCTTTATTTTTTCCCTTTAGTTTATATAAATGTGCTAATTGAGGTCCTTGAAATTAAAATTTAATGCCAAAATAAATAAACCAAGATAGCAGTATTCCTCATTTCTCCTCTTTTTCAAACAGCTACTTTTAACTTTTGCCTGAAAAAAAACCCAATAGATCTAATAATCTATTTTTAAGGTGATGTGAAATTATGCCCATCTTATCTAATATTCCAGATTCTCCAGTTTCCCTCTCAAATATATCAAGACTTTAAGATTTGAAAATGATCTTCTGGCTTTAAATCTAAGACTTGATTTATATTAACACTTTTTGGTAGCATGAACATTGTAAAACCTAAATTTCAAAATGTTTAACGGCAGCAACTTAAATACTTCATCTAAGACACTTGAATTGTATTTGTTATTGTTTCCAAACTTGACACATCTTTCTTATTAACATCCTTCATAGAAGTAAACAGAAACAGAGAGCAATTATATTACATACTCAGAGCAAGCATCCATTCATAAATTAATTCATCGAACATTATGAGACATCTCCTCTGCCAGACACGTGGTAGGTGTGGGGAATTTTTAAAGAATAAGGTGCAATCTCTCCTTTCAAAGTGCTAAAATGTCGGGGAGAAACCTCAAATAGTCAAATGATTATAAAACAGGATGGTAGGTTCTCTGTGAAAGGATGATGGTAGGAAAATCTAACAGTTACTGGAAGGGTCAGGAGCTGAGGCACCCTAGGGAGAGTGATAAATAAACTGAATCTTAAAGGCAAAGAGAGATGTTCAGGCAGAGAAACAGGGTCATGGTTCAACTATGGTGTTGTCAACAAAAAACCAGAGCCTCCAGATTTCAGAGAGAAGAGCCACCCCAATGAACTGATACACCATGTACTTATATGCACCATGTACTTGATGAGCCATGTATGATGTACTTGTGACAAGTGCCCAGGACAACAGCGCTCTACTGGAAGTCCTCAAAAACTTTAGCCAAGGGACGGAAACCCCACTAACCAGAGTGCATTTCCTAGCTGAGACTTCTTTTGTGTTGTGATTAAAAGGATGTAAATATTAAAAAACAAATATACTACAACAAAAAACAGGGCTTCATATGTTCTGATCTGGTTGTTTGCTTTTGGAGTGCTCTTTCCATTGTTTCATTGTAGAAACTGAGACTAACAGAGGATGGTCTTTTGGTTCCAGGCGTGTGTGCTGTCGGGAAGCCAATGTGCCTGCTCTTTGAATACATGGCCTATGGTGATCTCAATGAGTTCCTCCGCAGCATGTCCCCTCACACCGTGTGCAGCCTCAGTCACAGTGACTTGTCTATGAGGGCCCAGGTCTCCAGCCCTGGACCCCCACCCCTCTCCTGTGCTGAGCAGCTTTGCATTGCCAGGCAAGTGGCAGCTGGTATGGCTTACCTCTCAGAACGTAAGTTTGTTCACCGAGATTTAGCCACCAGGAACTGTCTGGTGGGCGAGAACATGGTGGTAAAAATTGCCGACTTTGGCCTCTCCAGGAACATCTACTCAGCAGACTACTACAAAGCTAATGAAAACGACGCTATCCCTATCCGTTGGATGCCACCAGAGTCCATTTTTTATAACCGCTACACTACAGAGTCTGATGTGTGGGCCTACGGCGTGGTCCTCTGGGAGATCTTCTCCTATGGCCTGCAGCCCTACTATGGGATGGCCCATGAGGAGGTCATTTACTACGTGCGAGATGGCAACATCCTCTCCTGCCCTGAGAACTGCCCCGTGGAGCTGTACAATCTCATGCGTCTATGTTGGAGCAAGCTGCCTGCAGACAGACCCAGTTTCACCAGTATTCACCGAATTCTGGAACGCATGTGTGAGAGGGCAGAGGGAACTGTGAGTGTCTAAGGTCGAAGACGTTCAAATAAAATGCTGCAGTTTCCTCTCAGACTCTGTGAGCCAGGGGAATCCTACACCAGAGGCCCGACGAGACCCACATAGGAAAGAGTAAGAGTAGACATGAGTAGCATGTTGTTTGTTTCCCAGGGAGAGCAAAGACAGTGCAAAACCCATGTGGTAGACGGACCTGTTGAAGGCCAGTGATTGGAAACACAGGCTAGGAAATGTGTCAGATAATGGAGACAACTATTTTTCTTTATGAAGGTTTATAATATACACTGCACAGGGAAGAATGTCATCTTGTTCAGTTTCCAAATTAGCTGGTCACAGAGTAAAGTTCTGCTGTATTAAATTTTAATATGAAATGGGATTCAGAGCTTCATTTTTTAATCGAGTTAATTCCTGTCCATTGTGAAAATAGCTTAATCTTCATGTAAGACACTTAGGTGAAATACAGAAAACTAAAAAGAAGGAAAAGCCACTCATTCTCTCTCCACCCAAAGATGAGTCTCAGTGTTTTGTTAAATCTTTCTTGCATTTAATGCATAATTTTATATTTGTTTGTATTCTGCAGAGTTGTGGGTATATTTTATTGATAGAGGGTTTCTAAGGAATGAAACAGCAAATCAGCAAGGCTGTGACTTTGAGTTCACTTTTCTGTCCTGTGTCCCTCCTTTTTTCCTTTCTGTGCACTTGTCATGAATTAAATCTGCTTATTTTATTCCTCCAGTTTCCTTGAAACAAGTTTTTGTATCTTACTGATTTACCTTTTCCTTTAAAAATTGTATTGGTGTCTTTTCCATTGCTTTAATCTTTATTTCTTCTTCTTTCCAGAACTTCTGTCCTTTTTTAGTTATTTAGCTATTTTTTCCCTTTTATTTCATTCATATAATAAACACTCTGGCAGAAATAATAACATTTTAAATAACATTGTAGGTTGACATATATATGCCTTTTGCAAAGTATCACTATTTTTTTCTGCATTTGCCTTTGAAGCCACACATTTCAAAATTCTCACCTATTAATATTATTACTAGAGTCTATTTAAATCTCTTAACCATAATTTATAATATGGGATTTCAAAAGATACACTTGTGGCTCTGAGTTATTTCAAAACTGATATATCTGTGCATTCTGACATTTTATTCCTTTTAGAAACAAATTCTATTGGCTGTGGAATTAACTGATTTTGTTGTATTTCATGACTTTTTTTTTTTAAAAAGAAGAACCTCTGGAACTCAGATTCCTGGAGGTTCAGATTTTTTCTTAGTGGACCCTCACACAATACATCTTTATCTAAGTCCATACATGATCTGAGTTTATTTCCGATATAGCATGAACCCAAATTCTCCTGAAAATGAACAGGGAAGAGAAAATAATAGTCTACTCTATACCGGCTTATCTTAATTCAAACTAATTGGTAGTTAGGGCATTGGAGGAATGGTGTGAGTTCTTGAAAGTAGATTTTCACCGTCTGCGGGAAAACTCTGCCTGAAATCCCCAAATCTGCCTCATGTAACAACTTGACATCTTTGACGGGAAACCTGTCATTTCTTATTCATAGTGCCTCCAGGCAACCAAGACAAAAATGTAGAAATTTTCCTCAACTTTGCCCTCTCTTTCATCCTCAATTTTCTTTTAGTTTCACTTCCTAAAATCCTCCTGCTGACATCCTCTTCCCTTCAACCCAAGAGCCGACGACTGAACCTCCACCGTTGTCCACCTGTCTATTATCTGGCCTTCCTCTCATTTCAGACCTGAACAGATTCTACAGGATACAATGACAGTAAGGCAGTCCTTAGTCACAGTTCTGGTTCACAAATAGCGAGGTCAGCGTTGAGGACTGAGACCTAGAGAAGTGCTTCAGATAAAAATCATGATTCTAAGTCCAAAATTGATACTGTCATCCAAAGGACTGAATGAAGAATAAAGTTGCAGTGTGCATCCAAAACAGAAAGATGCCAACAAAGCAGAAAAGTTGGAGAGGGCCACCAGCAAGTCTAGAACTTTAGCATAGATATCCATGGCTTATTTTAGATGGTTCATGTATGCTCTGCAAAATTCAAAGACAGCTTCGGGCTTTCTCCGCTGATAAAGTTTTGTTGTAAAAGACAGACATAGAAATCAGGCTGACAGGAAATAGAGTAACAATAATCATAAAAATTGTAATATCAGCTAGCATGTATTGAAATCTTACCATGCGGATTCTGAGGCCTTTAAATATATGAACTTAAACCTCACAACATCCCTGTAATGTTGGTACTATCATTATATACATTTTAGTTTTGCTTTATTTTGTTTTGTTTTGTTTTTGAGACGGAGTCTCGCTTTGTCTCCCAGGCTGGAGTGCAGTGGCGTGACCTCGGCTCACTGCAGGCTCCGCCTCCAACAATCACAGAGAGATTGTGCAACTGGCCCAAGCACACACAGTAACAGAGCTTACTTTTTGACCAAAAAAGGCCAAATTCTCAACCACCACACTGTGGAGCCTCTGTACATTATAGAAGCAATAACTGAACCTCAGGAACTCTGTGGACGTGCTTTGCAATTTGCATGTAGTTTCAAGCACACATTATACCTTTTATTCTGTTAACTTCCTAAGTCTTTTTAATGAGTAGCAAAAAAGCATACTTTAGCATTATCAAGTTAATCAAAACATCTAATAGGTGACATGCTTATTTTTTCATGAGTTCTAATTGCATTTTCAAGTTAAGATCACTAACTTATTCGCAAGTGCTCGGTCTAATGTTCTGAATCACAGGAATATAGATGCATTATTCACCAATATTGTTTTCTTTTTTAAATAAGGTATTTTTTCATGGTAGAATCATCATATAAATTCAAAAAGGTAGACAAAAGAGAGACACTCACAGTGTCACTGTTACCAAGCGCCAGGACAGACATCAGTAAGGCACCAGCTGTCATTTTTAGTGGTCAAATGCCAAACATGGTAAGATACCAGAGTATTTTTCACATGACATCCAAAAACATATTCTCTGGTGTTGTGGGGGAGCAGAAAAAGAACACTTTCTTTTCATTTTACAGTATATTACAAACCTGTTCCACATCATTATTCTTCTAAAAACCCAATTTAATTTTGGAGTAATATTCTATTTTATTCATATGCTGTAATTTAGTTAATCAATCTTGTATTTTTGAACATTTAGGTTTTTTCCAGTTTTCATCATTATAAAAAAATGCTGTAATTAACATCCTTATTTGTGCATGTCCACATTTCTTTTTATGAAAATTCAGAGAAAGGAAATGTCTGGACCAAATGGCACGTACAATATTAACACTTTTGTTATGTGGTTTCATATTCTGCAGAAATATGACTCCTACTTCTGCATTGTACAAGAGATCTCATAGCCCTAAACATTTGCTTTCATAGATAATTAATTTTCTGTTTTTTAGAAATCTTTTGTCTCTTTGGTTATAGAAAAAGAGAATCTCTTTTTAATTTTATTTTTCAAATTACAAGTCAGGTTGAATTTTTCTTTTTCCTAGGTCATTAACAGTTTTTATTTTGGCAATTGTCTACAGCCCATTTTTCTACTGTGTTCATTTTCTATTGAATTGTGGGATTTATCTTGTAAAAAGCATATTAAGCCTTTTTCATACTTTACACAAGAGATCACATATACTTAACTTTACTTTAAAATAACATTTGCTTATTTTCATGTAAAAGCAATATGTTTGAAAAGAAAAATAATATGTAATAATATACAATATATAATGTATAATCATAGTAAACAATAATAAAAATGAAAAAACACCAACCAGTGGTAATTAACATTAACATCATAATAAATCTTCTTCCAGCCTTTTTCAGATAGATAGGTAGGTAGGTAGGTTGGTAGGTAAATAGATAGATGCTAGATAGATAGATAATTTAAACAAAAACAAGATCATATTGTTACATTACTTCAGCCTTGCTTTTATCACTTAATATATCTTAAATATCTTCTACATGAACAAGTATGCATATGCAACATTAATTTTGAAGGTTGAATAGTATTATACAGATTTATCATAATTCACATAACTATTATTCTACTGTTAGACATTTGGTTTATTTCTATTTTCCATTATAAAATATAATGTTTTGATCATCCTGTTGCTAAATTTTGAAAGCATTTAAGTGATTTCTTTATCTATAAATCCTAGAAGTGAAATTTCTAAATCAAAGGATAAATGCACTTTCGATACTTTTTAATGTATTAAAAAATTGCCTTCCTGAATTATTTTATTAATATGTACCTCTCCTAGTCAGATCAGAGAGCCCATTTATTTCAACCTCACCAATACTCAGTATAACATTTTAATCATTGCCAATATAATAGCTAATAGCTTTAAGTTATTTCATAGCTTACGCTTACATTTCTTTAAATACTAATGAAATTGAACATTTTGTAATGTTTTGAGGATACTTGATTGGTGATTTCCCTCCTACTATTATTTTCCTATTGGGTATATATTTTTCTTGTTGCTTTGTAAGAGCACTTTACATATTAAGGAGTTAAATTTTGTGATACAATGTTTCAACTACTTTTATCATGTTAAAAATATAGACTTCTATTTATCTTTTATTATAGGTTTTATCAATCAGAAAAGAACATTGACTTTTCTGTCCATTTGGATAATTGTGGCTTTTTTCCCTAATTGATTTGTTAATATGTACAATTGTATGCATTTATTTCCTAATATAGAGATATCCTTGTCTTCTAGGAATAAACTTTTTGGGTGAATCACATCAATCTTTTACTTAACTACCAAATTTATTAACATGTATTTGCATCAGTGTTAATAAGTTCATAAAATTAAAAGTTTTTCATTTTCTTCTCTGTTAGAGTTTTGTATTGGCATTAGCATTTGTATTAACATTGTATTAGGAAAAACTCAGGAGTTTTTCTCTATAATCTTGGTTAGTTTATTTTTAAATAATTGTTATTTATGAAAGTAATATGTAAAAATGTTGTTTAAAAAAACTCACAAGAGGGTACAAATAA